TAACCAGCTGAGCCACCCAGGCGTCCTGCCCCCTTTGGTGGATTTCTTAACTTGCTCAGAGCCTGGGTGGATCCCAAGTGTCGTTGACAGGGGCCTTCCGCAGAGCGCAGGGCCGTCAGCCACGATGCTGGATGAGAAACGGCTGGGTACAGTGGGGCTGGCATCCACCCGACCCGGGCCTCTGTGTGGTTCTCGCCCCAAAGTCGAGTGTGGAGCCCATTTTACAGACGGGGAGGCTGAGGCAGAGAGGGTGAGCATCACGGGCTGAATGCGGGGCCGGGGGTGTGGCCGGGCCCCTGTGGACGCTGCGGGAAGGTGCCGCTCAGCCGCTCCCCTGCCCCAACCTGGATGTGGAGACAGAGGGGCTGCGGGGAGGACACAGAGGCTGTGGCCTTGCCCTGGGGTCCCCCACAAGTGGACGGCGATGGCCGTGTGCCCTGGTGTGGTGCGCAGGAGGGCAAGGAAAGCAAGCCTCAGGATCGTGGCCACGTTCACCAAGAAGCCGGTTTGGGGGCTGGGGGCCGACCAAACAGTGCCCGAGGAAGGGAGAGCTGTTTCCAGAGACCTGATCAATCAAGTCATTCCTGTGCTGTGATTATAACTGCGTCAGGACATGACAGAGACACGAGAGGGTGGTTCAGATCTGAACCGGGAGCTGGGTTGTTTGCAAGGGGACGGCTGGGCCTTGTGGGGCCACAGGCTCTATCTCTCTAGCCTTGGGGTCCACAGGAGCAGGGTGCTCACAGGTGTCCCTCTGCAGACGGGGGAGTGGGCCTGACCTTCGGCCGGGTCTCGGGCTAGGTGCCATTGGCCGTGGGGATGGTCAGCACCCGAGGGGCAGGATCCCTCTCAGGAAAACCCCATGGCCGGGCGGACGGACGGCCCTGGATCCTCGGGGAGGCTTTGGGACTGGAGCCCCTGAAGAGGCATCCCTGGGTGGTGCTCAGTGTCACCTGCTTCAGATGGATTTTAAAGCAAAGGGATCGATCGGTCTCTAGATTCCGGATATTTGTCATCCCAGGAAGTCCTGCCCCCCGTGTACCTGTGAGCGAGCATACGGGGGTGTGTGTGTGTGCGTGCATGACCACATGTAGTAACACACGCGTGTTTGTTGTGGCGCCTGGGTCAGGTGTGACGCAGATGGTGGCAGCTTGTGGCTCTCAGGCCACTACTGCGGCACGTGAGGGAGGGCAGCATGGTTGTTTTCACCGAGGCCCCAGCCCCACAGGCAGCCCCCCAGAGCGGCCCCAGTTGGGCCTCTGCACCCATTTGGACCCCTGATGGGATGTGGTCAGCCGCGGAGGGGGCTCTGGCTCCTGCGGGGCCTGGCGTGAGCCAGCCTCGGGGTCCAGTGCCCTACGGGGGGTCAGCCAGGCCCACGGCACCTGCCACGCGGGCCACGGGCACAGTCTGCGTCATCTCTTGACCCCTTCGACGGCCCCCACCCCACAGGGAGCACGTGGTCCTAAAACAGCAGGACAGCCCCGCACTCGTGGGTCTACTTTTTAAAAAATCCAAACCAGAAGACACGTGTAAGTTGTTCCTTCAAAGTAGACGCCCCAGGAGGGAGAAGAGACAGAGAGACAGCGAGAGCAGGGTGGAGAGCGGGAAGAGGGAGGTGAGGGCCTTGAAAGTGACATTTCAGATGGGCTAGCAGAGCTGGGGGCTCCTTCCTGCCTTCTGTCTCCTTTATCCTGAGAGCCCACCCCCTCCTGCCTGAGACCCGGGCTGCTTTCAGAGCCAGAAGCAACCCCGGGAGCCCTCAGCGTCCCTGGAGCAGGTGCAGGACGGATTCTGGAAGCTTCCATGCGGCGGAGTGTCTCCACAGATCTGCTGAGCCCTGCAGCGTCCGCGGCCCAGCCCAGCCCACTGTACCCGGCTGTTCCCCAAACCTACCGCGGCTGGACGCAAGCAGGTTCTCCCCGAGTGGGGATGGTGCTTGTGAGTGGCCGTGTGGGGAAGCACCTGGGCCACACTGAACACTCTGAAGGGCTGGGGACCCGCTGCCCTTGTCTACCCCTGCCCAGCCCGGGGCACTGGGCCACTCGTCCCTCCCCGGGCCAGAGCACCAGGCTGGGAGATGCTGACCCCTGGTCCAGAAAGACAAGGACACTCTTTCCCACCTGCAGCCACTGTAAAAAGCAAGCGACATTCAGCACTTGTCTAAGAAGCAGCTAAGGCCAGTTCCTGAACACATACCCTGAATAGAAGGAAACCGGCCACGGTTTAGGAACAGAGGTATAATCAAATTCTCATTTTCTATTCCAATAAGCATCTTTGAATTAATGCCTATTCCACTAATTAGGAAGGTTTTATTAGCGTTCTACTTGGTTAATAAAGCACACAACACAGACCACGGATAATATCGCGGTCATTTCTCCATGGAGGGAACAGCAGAGGGTGAGTGAGCGAGCCAGCTGACAGAGCGGAGGGCACGCTAACCAGCCCTTTACAAGTATGGAGGTAACGGTCTGGGAAAAACACAGCCTCCTCTGTGGGCCCTGTTCGCACCACCCGAACCTTGGGCCCCAGCTGGTGCAGGCGGGCCTGGTTTGGGGCTCAGCACTGGGACCCGCGCGTCCACCTGGGACACGGGAGGCCGATACCCCTGCCCCGACGCCCGGGCGCTGTGCTCGGGGCTCCGGGGCCTCGGCCGAGGACAGGCACGGTGGCAGGCGGACTCGGTGTCAGTGGACAGGGCTGTGCTGGTCTCCGTGACCCTGGGGGCTTCGGAGGAAGATGCAAAAGTGTCTCAGCACTGACCTGTCCCAGCCACCTGGGGTCGGGGCTAAGTGGGTCCGAGTAAGGGCGGTTGCAGCTGGCCCTGGGGGGGGGGGGGGGGTGAGGGCGGGGTGAGGGCAGCGCGGAGCGTGGCAGGAGGGGCCGGGCTGGAACCCCAGAACCCTCACATTCCCAGGACTTTACCAGAAGGTGTGTGTGTGAGCACATGCGTGTGTATTTCCAAGGAAGCACGATGAACAGAGTTCCAACACACGGAGATTTACTGTGTCACTGTTACGAGCCGTTGTGTGTTTCCCGAATTTAATCAGGTTCTAGAATTGCATGCGGAAGGTGGCACTTTCGTTTTCTTTCTGTGAGATTACATCTAATGGTTTTCGTTAAAAAAAAACAAAAACAAAACCCGTGGTCTCAAGCGACCATTTCATAAAAACGCATCCTGAATCACTTGGCGGTGAAGCCCCCAGTGTTGACAAGTGTTAGGACCACCCCAGACACGGTCTCAGGAGGCCACTGGGGGAGGGGTGGGCACCCCGGTGGGTGAATTCAGAGCCTCCTGGAAGGTGGGGCCTTCCCTCGCCCCTCACTGCGCCCTGCCCGCCTCGCCCCTCACTGTGAGGGAACCCTCCCAGATGTTCTGGTCTTTAGTGCACATCGGGCCCTGCAAACCTGGTGTGGAATTCTGGGAAGGGCCCCCGCCTGCTCTCGGCAACCTGCGTGCCCTCACGTCCGGAGCCGGAGCGAGGGAGGTGGCTCCCTCCTCCCCAAATAGAGACCATTCAAATGTGAAATCAAAAGTTTAATCTGACACCGTTAAATATATTTATATATCTCGCACTGGAGGATTTCTCTTGAAACATAAGAATTAGAAATTACGAGTAGGTATATGCTTCCTATATTCAGATAAATTGGTTTCTATTCATTATTGAGATTCCGGACAGGCAAACACATCACGGATCTACTGCAGTGGACGACAGGACGGGACCACGTACAGACACGACGGTGTTGGCGTCTTCCTCCCCAGCCAGAGGCCGCTCTCCCAGCGCGACCGTTTCTGGGATGCAGTGTCCATTGGGACGGGAAGGGCGGTGTGCACGAAGCAGGGCGTGGGGGGGCCCGGGGATACGCTCACGCCGAACCGTAGATGGAGCCCAACAGGGTGGAGCTGTCTGCGCCCCTTCTTGGATTCCCTCGTTCCGAGTTCAGCGAGATGAGCCCCGTTTCCGGGGGCGGGCGGTGGCGGACCTCACGGTCAAGTGCTATTCCGGCAAGCCCGGATCGCCTCTGGACGCCCGTGTGTGTCACACGAGGGTCCGACCTAGGCGACGGGGGGGCTGACGACCGGGGGGCCCGCGGCCAGCACTTCCACTTTGCTCCCTGCTGCTACGAGCTCACGCAGATTAAAACGCCCGTCTCCCCGCAAGTCCTTCTAGGAACGGGTGCTCAGGTGCTCTCCGGATGCCGGCAGGGCCCGGGACATCCCCTGAGAGGGGGGAACAGGTGCCTGCTGGGGGGCTAGAGCGCTCCTCGGGGACCGGGAGCTTGGGACCTGCCAGACTGTTCCCAGATTCCGGCTGTCCCGGGTTGCGACGTGTGAGTCCGTATTTTGAAGTTAAAAGTGTGGCTCCCCAGGCGGGAAAGCAGTTGCCCCTGGAGGCCCCTGCCGGCCCCTGGGGGTGGGTGGTAGAGATGGGCCGTGGACCTTGGGGTCGGGGGGGGGGGGGGGGGGGGGGGCGTCAAGCAGCCCGGGTGGGAACAGAACCGAGATGCGGTGACGATTTTCTTATTATTTGCCCCACAGCTGCTGAATGTTAGTAACTGTTGCTCTGACTCCCGAAGAAGCCGGTGGCTCCTCTGGGCGAGCAGCGTCTCAGAGACAAATGCCACGTGTGTCTGCCGTGCCTGGTGCCCTGCCCGTGTCGTCTGGGCCCCCTCCCTGCAGAGCCGGCCGCCCTCCAGACTCACAGGTCACGAGCCAGCCCTCAGAGGCCGTGCGGAGTGCGAAGCCTGCTGCATCGTTAGGACGACACTGTTTGCAATTAAGAATGTGAATGTGTGCTTCAAGGAAAAGGGTTTTCTTTCAGGAAAGTGAAACCGGATAAAGTGATTGCCCCCTGTAATCGCATGATTCCACCGATCTCTCCTTACTGTGATTTGGTTAAACGAAAATGCGCATTTCAACCGGTAAACTGCACCGACCAGGCAGTTGTGTCATTCCGGGTGCGGGCGCCTCCCGGCCCCGGGCCCCTCCGCCCCGCGGCTCACTGCGGGAGGGCCCTGAGGATGGCGTTGACCTCCTCCGCCACGGCCGTCAGCGCAAACTCGAACTGGCCCTGGAAGGACAAAAGCGGGGGAAGCCGTGAGTGGGGCCGCTCTCCTCTGGACTCCAGCCCTTAGCTCTGGTGTTATTCTGCAGAAAGGTCGCATATGTGCATAGAAAGGAGAGGTGTGCGGGATCCTGATGCCGGCTCCGGCTTCCCGGCCTCGATCGCCGCACGGTGCTTGCGGAAGGTGCTGGCAGGGGGAGCCGAGGGAGGGCACACGGGAATTTCTATTTCTGCAAGCGTTCTGCAGCTCTGAAATAATTTCAGAATTTCAGATAAACAAACCCCTAGGAAAACAAAGTGTGCTGTGACTGATAAGGTCTCTTCACGCTGATCATATGAGGGTCTCGTCACATTCCCGGGGGCCACGGAGGGACGGGGGCCGAGCGTGCATGGTGCTGGCACCTGGGTGGAGGTCCCCGGCTGGGGCAGGTGCCGCTGGGGGGCGGGGGGCACGGCCGGGGCAGTTCGGGAGTCTTTACGAGGCTTCTGGTTCCGTGTAGGATAGGTTTGTGGTTCTGTAGGAGAATTAAGCTACATTTGCCTCAGTGCTCGGGGTTGACTTTGGCCATGAAGAACCAGCCAGGTGGCCCTGTTGAGGTATTTTAAGAAATCCTCCAGCTCACAATGTGTTCAGCCTAGTCTTACGGCCGCGTGGCTTCTCGGTTCTCCCCAGAGCGCTTGGGATTTAGAGCCTCTCCCCCACCCAGGGCCTCTCCCCCACCCAGCTCAGACCTTGTGTCATGTTTGATTTGCACACTAACATTCAGACAGAACAGGGGCTTGGGGACTTCTGGCACTTTCTGGGGGAAACAGCGGGACCCCAGGAGGCAGGGGAAACTCCCTGCAGTCCCGGAACCGTCACCCCAAGGCACAGAGCACACTCCTCTGGGCCTTGGGCCACCTCCATTTCATGAGTGCAGTTTACAACTTCAAGTCCTCTTGGGTGCAAAGAAGCAGTTTTGCAAGGGCATCTTTTACGGACTTTGGGTCTTCGGTGGAGGCTCGTAGCCTCTGAGAGTGAGGACGACCTTGGCAAAGAGGAGATTCTGTACTTGGCGACTTCAGTGCTCTCACGGAACAGGCGTGGGAGCCCCTGCTGCTGCTGGACACGGGTGTCTCCGAGCGCCAACGGAACGGACCGTCGTCTTCACCGCACTTCCAGCTCGGGAGCAGCCCTGTCTTTCTGCCTTTTGCTGCAGACGTGGCCTTTTCAGTAAGTATGCAAATCAGCCACACTGAGGCGCTGGAGGACCCCAGCGCACCCGGGGGACATTTGACGACCACACAACAGAGCCGTGGTTCTGAGGGCCGGAAGCAGGGGAGTCTGGCAGAATGTTTAGTGAATCTAGAACATTCTCCTGCAAGGGTGCTGGGGTTTATCATTGACATCTTTTTATAAAAACGCGATGTTCTCCCCTTCCCCTGCATCTGGTGCATGGAGGGCTCCAAACACTGGAGGTCTGCCTGCATCGTTTTCTGTTGAGATTCGGGTGGTTGCTGGGACCCCGACTGACCCTCCTGGGAGGGGCCCCTGTCCCGCCTGGGACCTGCCTGGGAGATGTCCCCTTCCCCTCTGCCCTCGCTCGGAAACAACCGCGGAAAGACGCCCGAGGGCTGGCCCACAGTACCTTTGTCTGGACCATGCCCGGTCTCTGGTCCCTCAAGTGCTCCAGGGTCGCGGCGATATCAATCTCCTTAGCGCCTGCAAGAAACAACGAACACAAATCGGGCTGAGTTCAGACACGAGATGAGCCGCGCTCCGCGGTCACTCTCCTGCATCAGGCCCTTCGGGCTCAGAGGCCAGTTGAAAATGATTACACTCATTCCTCAGCAGGCCTGGCAGGCAGCTGCGATTTCGGTGCTCAGAGAAAAATAAGGCAAGGCGGTTTTCATTAGCATTGATTCAAGAAAGCCGGGTTAAAAAAATTGCTGTCAGAAGCCCAGAAAGATACTTGCAACAGCCACATCACTATTAGAAACTAAAATGTGATTTTTGTGTGTGGCATTTTAAAGGATGTTTTAGAAATAGAAAGTATATGAGCTTTAATTTCAATTGCAGAGGATCTTTTTTATTTCACGTAACGAAAGATTAGACTAATAAATCCCATCCATCTGAATATTGGCTTTTAAATGTGGAGCTCCCAGCGAGGGTTCCAAACGGTGAGAAGAGGCAGAGACGGCCCTGGCTGTATTCACTGGCCGGACTTTCGCGGAGAGGCCCCTCCCCACAGACAGCATCTGTCTCGAGCCAGGTGATCCGGGCTTCACAGAAATAATACCATTGGAGTTTGAAATTTTGACCTTATTGTTGTTGTTGTTTTTTGATGTTTATTTATTTTTGAGAGAGAGAGACAGAGCATGAACAGGGGAGGGGCAGAGAGAGAGGGAGACACAGAATCCGAAGCAGCTCCAGGCTCCGAGCCGTCAGCACAGAGCCCGACGCGGGGCTCGAACTCACGGACCGAGAGATCATGACCTGAGCCGAAGTCGGACGCTCAACTGACTGAGCCCCCCAGGCGCCCGACATTATCGTTAATTCAACATGTGTTCTTGTTTTTCTATTTCTAGTAGATAGAGAACAGTGCTGGCTCTCAGGCCCGCAAGCTTCTTACGGTTTAAGAAGCATTTTACACAAATGCAAACCGTGGGCAGGGGAGCAGCCGTCACCTCCCAGGTGGCCTCGGACCCACGCGCCGAACCCCAAGCAGGTGCGATGTTGCCAGCAGCGCCTCGTCACCAGGGCCCCCGCCGCGCAACAGCTCATGCCCGGTCGCACGGAGCAGGTGGCCACGACCGTCGGCAGCCAGATGGCATCAGGCGGATGGGCCGAGAGGCCCCGCGTCTCCAGGCCCTTCTCTGTCTGCACCCCCCAAGTGTGCACATCAGTCCCCTGAGGCACAGAGCCAGGAGAACGAGTTTGAAAGCTTCTAAGATTGTTAGAACGTTTCAAGTCCTGTGGTTCTGTGGCTTACGGACAGCGGGTGCAATGGGCATCGAGGGAGAAAGATGGGCAGGGGAGGGGCTGGGAGGAAACACGTCCAAAGCAAACGTAGCTGCACAGAGGGGAGCAGCAGCAAGTATGGACAACCTGGCCGTATGTCCCCCAGACCAGGAGCCCGGGGGCTGGGGGCACCGCTCGGCCGGCACTTAGGCAGGCTGTATCCATGACCCCAGTCTCCCCTTCCCTGTCCTTGAGCAGACACGACAGGAATGTTCACATCTCTCTCTCTCTCTGTTTTTAATGTTTATGTACTTTTGAGAGAGAGAGAGAGAAAGAGAAAGAGAGAGTGGGGGAGGGGCAGAGAGCGAGGGAGACACAAAATCCGAAGCAGGCCTCAGGCTCCAAGCTGTCAGCACAGGACCCGACTCGGGACTCGAACCCATGAACCGTGAGATCATGACCTGAGCTGAAGTCGGATGCTTATCGGACTGAGCCACCCAGGTGCCCCATCATCTCTAGGGCTGTAGGGACAGCGCTGGGCGCGTCGGGAGCTCCTAGTCAATGCGGCCGCCTTACGGGAACCAAGCTGCCAGGTAAGGACCGTCCTATTGGGACACTGTGAGCTCCCCCGTGTCTTAAATCAGGGCCTTTATAGGAAGGGGAAGAAATTCCCCTTCTGGACCAGCCAGACGTCCCCCAGGGAGCTCGGCAGTCGGGTCCACTGAGAAACCCACTCAAGGACAAGACAGGGGTCAAGTTCTGGGCGTGCTGGTCAGCTGGCCTTGAGGGTTATAGTTTTTGGAAGCCGACGAGGCCACAATAAACAGTCTTGGTTTAAAGGGAATCCGTGAGTCTGAGACCCTCTGAAACAAAGGAGGAGTCTGCCCTGCTACCGAAAGGGGGGGAAGGAGGAGAGAGGAAGTGGGGGGGGGGCCCGGCCACGGCCACCGTGTGTGGTGGCTCCCGGTCGCCGAGGCTCAGGAGCCGCTGCCTCTCGTCGCCTCCCCACTGGAGCGCCCTGCCCTCAGGGCCCGCTCGCGAGTCACAGGGACAGCCGTGCACGGAAACTGGCTTCTTCAAGAAACAAGCTTGCCCTCAGAAGGTTAAACCCGATGTGGGGGGCGAGCGAGGGGGAGACGAATGTGTCCCGCCCCACGCGTGGCACTTCCGTTCTCCGGCCGGGCGGGTCAGCAGCAGAGCCCGGTGCTCAGGGCTCTGCCGGGATGGGTCCCACAGGTGCGGCCACGGCCCGGGCACTCGCTGCGTTCCCCTTCCCCAGTCCGGGGCTCCCTGCCGGTGTGGGTGGGGTCTCGGGCTGGCACAGAGCGCTGGGGGGGGGGTGCCCTGCGGGGCCCGGCCACGTCGTAATTCACAGGAGCCACGGCGCTCCAGACGCGCGTGAACGGTGCTTCGCAGATCCCGGGCGCTCCCGGGAGAGAAAGTACTTCTGCTCGGCGATATCCCACGCTGGCCTCCAGGCTCGCGCAGGGCCCCTACCTTCTGCGACCGCTCGCCTTCTGACCACGGGTCCTGGATTTCAGAAGCATCCGGTGCGGGGGGCAGGTCCTTCCGAGATGAAATCCCAGGGCTTCGTGTAGGATCCAGACTTAGATAAAAAGTGTCTTTTCAGGGCACTTTCTTTTAGTCCTTCGGGCTGGTTGGAAAGCCTCTTTCAACAGCTGTTTTATTCTGAGGCTGTATGGAGGCCGTCCCTGCCTGGAAGCCGCCGGCACGGGCTGGGGACACGCGACGTGGCCCAGTGCTGCCTCTGGTCGCACGTGTGGCCCTCCCTCCTGGGCGGCTGTCCCGAGCCTGCAGGATCCTTGGATGGATGTACGAATAAAGTCTCTAGTTTTCTTACATCGTGACGCCCTCTGGACCACTGTTCGTGAGAGAACGTGAGAGAACATGGCTGTCCCCGGAGGGGTTCGAGATGAGGAGCCGGCCAGGGACTGGCTCAGGAGCCCACTTTTCCTGGAGTCGGAGTTGGACAGTGAGGAAATCAAACCGATACTTAAAAACGTCCAGAACGAAATTCAGGCAACTGATGGATTTATTAAGTGAAGCCAGCTGGGTGACGCGGACGTCCGCTCGCTTGTTAGGACAAGACCATTAGTTGTTGGCAACGTGAGCAAAGGGAGAAGCTTGCAGAACTCACGTCCGTGGTCTGTCCTGAGCAGTGGAGACACAAGGGGATGCGGTGGGAGCAGCCGCCACACCCTGTCCAGTGGCTCCCACGTGCAGTGGGGCCTCGCGGTGCACGGAACACAGAATCTGCATTTATAAACAGATCCGTGAGGGTCACAGGGTGGAGAGGGTGTGTGGGTCCTTCGCCACTTTATGAAAGGCTTTACTGAAGGCTAAGAGATTTATTTAAATCCTCCCAAATCAGGGAAGCTCCCTCTAGTGCACTGAAAAGGGGACCCTCCGTTTAAAAATTTCATTTTGCTGACAACATGTTACATTCTAGGGGAACAGACTATTGGGTGTGGTGCTCGCGTCCAAAAGCCTATAATTAGTCAAAGAATCATAACCTACAAAAAGAATCGCACACCCAAGACAAGACCGGCAGGGATGCAGACTGGTTTCCAGTGTTTTCTGTCTGAAAGCATCATGACCCCAACACCGGAGTGCTCCCTGAAGACCCCATTCAAGGCGGCTCTGCAGGTGCACCTCCCCCCCCACCCGCCCCGGGACCCAGGGCCGTCCCCCGCTCCCTGTCTGGACTGTCTTCCCCGCGGCCCTGCATGGTCCACTGACTCCCCCAGGGCACCGTCCAGTAAATACTGATCTCTGCCAGTTTCCACTTCACTCAGGGTCCACTGGTTTCCAAGTTTACATATCAGCTAAATCCATTTTTAAAAGTATTTAAATTTTTTAAAAATGTTTATTCATTTTTTGATAGAGACAGAGTGTGAGTGGGGGAGGGGCAGAGAGAGGGGGAGACACAGAATCCGAAGCAGCTCCGGGCTCCGAGCTGTCAGCGCAGAGCCCGACGTGGGGCTTGAACCGTGAGATCGTGAGATCATGACCTGAGCTGAAGTCGGACGCTTTACCGACTGAGCCACCCAGGCGCCCTTCAGCTAACTCCATTTTTAAGACAGGAAAGGTTTTTTAGCTCTAGATAAAAGGCATTAACCATTAAACATTTTACTGAAGTATGGAAACTGATTTTTGCAGGGAAGGAATCAACCTGAGGTTAAAGGAAACCAAGTTCGTGGCGGGGTGCTTTGCTCTCTCCTGGCGTTTGCTCCCTGGTCCAGGGGGTCGTGTGGCCCGCCCACTTGAGCCAGCGTCAGGTGCACACGCCTGGGCGCGGGCCGTGCTGTGTGCAGACACAGCTTTCTGCCCCCTGCTACCTAGTGAGGCCGAATACACGTGAATCAGTTTTGCCACAGAGTTTTTACCCAGAAGGCTTGCAACCTGCCGGGGTCCAGTGTTTTCTTCCAAGTAAAAGAGACAACGTGTGTCAAGTGTGCAAGGGGGAAAAACTGTTACTTTGCACGAGGAAGTGCTCTTGCTTCCGCTCCAGGGGGATCTGAGCAAAGGAGCCAAGTGGTGAGATGCTGCCCCGGGAGGGCAGAGCTCCTGGTGAGGTGGGG